AATACTATTCTAACGACATACATGTTCTACTTGCTATTATATATCACTATGAGATACAATACTATTCTAACGACATGTACGTTCTATTTACTATTATATATATATCACTGAGATACAATACTATTCTAACGACATACATGTTCTACTTGCTATTATATATCACTATGAGATACAATACTATTCTAACGACATGTACGTTCTACTTGCTATTATATATATCACTGAGATACAATACTATTCTAACGACATACACGTTCTACTTGCTATTACATATCACTATGAGATACAATACTATTATAACGACATATACGTTCTACTTGCTATTATATATCACTATGAGATACGATACTATTCTGACGACATGTACGTTCTACTTGCTATTATATATCACTATGAGATACGATACTATTCTGACGAAATGTACGTTCTACTTGCTATTATATGTCACTCTGAGATACAAAGTGTATGTCGTTAGAATAGTATTGTATCTCAGAGTGATATATAATAGCAAGTAGAACGTGTATGTCGTTAGAATAGTATTGTATCTCATAGTGATATATAATAGCAAGTAGAACATATATAATAGCAAGTAGAACGTATATGTCGTTAGAATAGTATTGTATCTCATAGTGATATGTGATATATATATAATAGTAAATAGAACGTACATGTCGTCAGAATAGTATTGTATCTCATAGTGTGAGATACAATACTATTCTAACGACATACACGTTCTACTTGCTATTATATATATCACTGAGATACAATACTATTCTAACGACATACACGTTCTACTTGCTATTATATATCACGTTGGAAAACTATAAGTGGACCTTTTTTAACCTAAACTTTACATGAAAAAAGTATTTATTATCAGATTATATGAAACGAGCCAAACATCATACAAATACGTAAACATTCGCAGTTGTCTGAATAGTTTAGAATCGCATGACTTTTGTAAATAACCTACATTACAATTTGTGCCCCCCTTCCAGTGACCCAGCAGAAAGTCTGCAGGATTACAGTACTAGAATATGGGTTTTGATACTGGTGGTGAGAAGAGCAAAGGTAGCCCATTGTGTTGCTTTACGCTTAACAACAACCCAAACCAAATAGGCTTCATTGCACTACATTTTATCATTGCTGACCAGAATATCAGAAGGATTTGAATTTGAAGATCTCACTCAAAAATATATTTTATTTATTTTAGTTCAGGGATCTTAAGCAGTTTTGTAATACATCGTATTCATATGTATATATTATACAGTTTTGTAATACATTGTATTCATGTGTATATATTATACAGTTTATTTTATAATTTAAACTTTTTAAGCTGGAAAATGTGATTCGCCAGAAAATGAACGCACAGATACTTAATGAAAGCTACTAATATCATTTATAAAACTTGAAGTAATATTCTGACGTTAGAATTTTTCTTTTGCTAGTTTTCTTTGCTAGTTTTCTTCATTTTCTATTATTATGCTAAAATGATAGGAATTCTAAAGAGATGCTACTGTTTAGCAAATTATATCCAACATGCTTTTCTATAATATTTGATTTACATTATGGATGTTACGTGATCAATTGTAGGAAGAAATTCAAAAGGCCGTGACGTCTGAAGATATTGAAAACTCCCCTGAGACCTTTGTTTCTTCCCTAAGAAAACAGTCAATGGAAGCGAAGAACAGCACACTGAGACACACACACAATCCCAGTTACGAGTGCGTTCTTCTGCTACGTAAAGAAGATCCAGAGAGTGAAAAACACGTCTTTTTAACCGAGTACACCAACACATTAACAGCGGGAGATGATGCAAATAACGCATCAACAGCAGAGCAACAAGTTCTCAACAGTAATTCCCATCAGCCCAAGACTCAAAGTAAGTTACACGTTCTTCTTAAAGTTATATATATACAATAATGATGAAATAAAGATTGAGTACATTTCATAGACACATTATACTATAAACAATCTCTAGTATATATTTAATACTTAAAAATTAGCTGGATTTAAAAGGCATAATTAACTAGGCGAAGATGTATGGATGAGTGCTATGCTACACATAGTTACCAATAATGGCTCGAGTGTAAAATCAGACAAACTTAGTGTCTTAATAGAAATCACTAAGGTATCATTTTTGTTTTTCAGAGATCATCAAAAACTAAAGTTCATCGCAACTAGCAGTTATTATTTTTTTTCATTTATACCTCAAGAAAGCAGTCTGTTTTAATCTGAATAAAGCTGACTGTGGTAACAAGACAAAGTTAATTACCGTGTAATTTATCCACAGGTATATAATTTGTATTTTTTTTTACAATACATAATAAATTGTCCCATTTTTACATTCGATGTCAAATACATGCAGAATTTATTGTTACTTTGTGTTTATTGCAAAGCTACTAAGGCATGCCAAATCAATAGTGAACGAGAAAGAACAATTAATAAATATATATATATATCCTCCTCTCTTTTGTCCGATCATTCTTGTTCCCAGTGTTCATTTGATTTCGCATAATTCAGCTCAGAATGAAAGTCGATGTCATTTCTGCTTCCAGCTCTTTCTCACATGATTTCATGCTTAAAGGTAAAGCAGTTTCCAATATCATCTACCCTAATTGAATGAGGTGTAATATTAGCATTATCACTTTACTGTACAAGTTACTTCTCATTACAGTTATAGCTAACATATTATGATTACAGTTTAAGTGTCTTGGGTTAAGCCAACACAGAAAAATAAGTGGAATTCATCTAAAAATACTTGAGTGGAAAAAAAAAAAAAAAAAAGAAGTCAAAACTGTTTTATCTCAAACAGTAAGTGCTATCTCATAAACATAGCAATATAAAACATTCTGGCATTACTCATATTGCATCATTATATTCATGTGCTGTACAACTGAGCTTGTACTTAGTTTGGCTCTGAAATAATCTACGAATCATCACTGAGTTACATTGAACTAAATGCATGTGATTTGGTAAATTTGAGTACGTATGTATAACTTGATTTTAGAAACATTCTATGATATTATAATATATGTTCGTCACTTGCACTTTAAGCCTTTATTTATGTTTATTTTGAAAACCTTAGTTGTCACAATCCAATACTTTGTGTCGCTGTTCTTTCAGCATTGTATTTTTTTGTATAGGTATGATCAAAACTAATATTGTGTATTTCAATACGCTGCAGACGATATTTCAATACATTATATTCCAACTTCTCCAAAGAGTAGATAAAAACTCTTTAATTACTAATGTTAATTAAAGATTACACTGTACGAAAAAAAATATATTAATAGTATGGAATTTTCAACCAAAACTACACACATATGTGCAATAGGTGAAGTTAGAGACCTCAAGCATTCTCAGTTGTGAACAGATGACTAGATGGAGGAAAAATCAGTTAACATCAGCTTTTATAATATATTCACAACTAAAAGCACATGAAGTATTCAGCTCGAACCTTCAAATTTCTGATATTTAGCGCTGAGCCCTAACCACTAGGCCTATCCACATACATATTTTGAGCTGAACTAATGATTTATGTTTTGGTCTTCCAGGAGGTTCAGAATCAAGTGGCCGATGTAGAGCAATCTGCAAAAAAGACAGACTTGATAGTGTTTCTTATAGAAGTGAAGAGAAAGAGAAGTTGAAGGTTAGTGTATGGACGTATGTTTGTTTACATAATATTTTATTTAGCATCTTACAACTATTTTTGTGTTTAAAAGTGAAAAGTACAACCAGTTTACAAAGCTGTAAATGTGTAAAATTCTGGTAACATAAGATAGTCTTGTTACAAACCAACCCAAATTTATGCCGACGATTATCAACAGTAGTTTGCGAAATTTAAGATGAATCAGATCTGACGATTTCTAGTTAGTTTAAAATATTTATCAATATTTCACTAGGCTTTTTTTTATCTTATAACAAAAGATATGTAACTCGCGAAACAGTAATATCGATTATAGATATTTTTGTTGGCGTCAGATAATCTTCTGCGATTTTCATCTTGTTCATTGTAGAAACTAAGTTGTCTTTACGCTATTGAGGTGGTTTGATTTATAGTTGAGGTATTTATCCGTACCTGTGTGATTCCTGTAAACCCCTGTGTTATTTGAGTTACTCCTTTGGTAACCATCATATTTAGGATTGGGTGTTTCTTATCCTCTATTTCTATTGTAAATTGTACCGCAGGATGTTGTCTGTTCAAGTGGTTCATGAATTCTTGAATCTTACGCTTAGTTTGTGGCCCAATTACGAATGTATCATCAATATATTTGAGCCACCTTTGGATGTAGAGAGGTTGTTTTGAGGGTGTCATCTTTGAAACATTCCGTGTAGAAGTTACTGGGTATTGGTGATAAGAGTGAGCCCATGGCTAGATCTTCTTGTTAGTTGTGTTGGAATTAGATTGTTTTGATACAAAATGTTGTGAGTTCTATTACCGGGGAGATTGTAAGGTATTTGCGTTCCTTGAATGTTATATGACTTACAAGCCGGCCCGGCATGGCCATGTGGTTAGGGCGCTCGATTCGCAATTTGAGGGTCGCAGGTTCGAACCTCCGTCCCACCAAACAT